GCGTTCAACTCACACAGACCCGACGCGACAACAAATCGCGTCGGGCTGCGTCGGCCGACGCTGTCTGAGTTGGCCTTTACATGCGCGTTTTCCTAGTCCTGTCTTCATTGGTCAGTTGTTAAGTTAGAATAACACTCCGGAAAGCTGCATTCTATGGCTCTGTCCAGACTATCAGCATTTGCGTTTGTCAAAAACAAATAATGTGGCAAAGATAAGCCAAACCAGTCACTCGTCGCAAAAATCGATTTTGAGTTATTAATACAGTGTTAGAGAGTAATAATAGCTATAAAATGGTAAAAAAATCATTCAAATCGGACATTTCCTTATGAAGTTACAAGCGTTTAATCACACAGATGTTTAAAGAACAATATATGAGAAATCAGCCTTTATGATTTCAGGCATTTCTCATGCAGAAACTATCTTTAAATCCTTAAGAAAGTATTGTTTTAACATTGAAAATGGGGAAAATAACACCATAGAATGATGTATAGATATATAAAGGTTAGTTTAGTGCAATAAAATACATTTAAAAAAATTTGATATTCCAGCATGTTTTGGCCATTTTCTCTGTAGCACAATTTCTGACGAGTGACTGGTTTGGCTTGTCTTTGCCACTAATGTTGCATGCCCTTCATTATGTGCTTATATGATCATAATGTGATGAATGTCATCATGACCTGAGGCATGTCACATATTTTTGTAAATTTGAAATTTCATAGCTTGGCTTAAGTAGATCAGATTACCACACATTTCCTACCTGAACATTTCTCGTTTGTAGCCAGCAAGGGCTGAACCCTCGGTACTAAAGAAACACTTCAGTAATTTATATGGTAACGGGTTGGTGAACTCCGCCTTGGCATAAAATGTTGATCCATTGGGTACCGCTAATGGTACCTAAAATCGATAGAGTAATAAGATTTATCAGCTAACTTTTCAATTGAATTAACGATAATGATAATTAAACAACGACACTATGCATGATAATGAAAATGGTTTTGAGTAAACTGTTTCGTCCCCATAGATAATCGAACCCAATGCGTTCCAATCATCATTTACTTCTAACATTACAATGTCTTTAGGCCCTATAGACAAAAAAAAGTGTATTAACAGGAAAATCCAAGGAAACATACCGTACACAATGTTACCTTGGATTGTACTACTAACTTTAAATAGACCTTTCGCTTAGCCCCGCCCCTGTAATAGTGTTGGTAAAGTCCCAAAGAAACGTAAATGTACGTAAACACGTGCGTTCGTGTGACAACACGTGCGGTTGTTGGAAACGAGCATATTCCTGGCACTGTTCTGATTGGTCAGTTGTTAACAGGTTGGTTGACACGCCGGAAAGGTCGATTGTGACCCAACCAAAGGTATAGGATGTCATAAAATTGACATTTTACTGGATACACACCGTGATCTTAATGTTCGGTTTCTTCAGTTTAAAATCGTATCCTTTGATGATTGTTTGGTTAGTTTCTTTGACAACCACTGTGACGTCGAATCGAATGTTGGCTTGGTCAACAAGATCACGCAGGTAATCAGAGGCTAGCAGCTTCAGACGATATTCACTTTCTAGAGAATAAGAGATGTGACATGAGATAGCAAAATATTTTAATAGTATTTTAATCATCTTATTTTATTTTATTTTATTTCAACTTTATTTCACGAGGGTAGCTCTAACAGTTGCACTACAGTAGTACAGCTGACTTGAAGAGGCCCTCGAAAGAAAAACAATACATAAAAATATATACAATACATTAAGAATCCAAGTAAGTAAAAGCTTCATTACGGCAAAGTTCAAAAACAATATAATAAATAAAATATTGGATAAACATTGTAATATTCATTAAAAATACAATAAACTTTAAAATTCATTATAAAATTACAAGGTGATGGTTAAAATCAG